TATGTAGATTGAAAAAAAAAGTAAAAACAAAAAAAGACTTACTTCCTGGAATTAGAACAAAAAAGGAAAAGCACAGAGACAGTGAGTAAATGAATGTCAATAAGGCTCTGATGGAAAAGAGAAAGCAAGGTGATGGCGGTAGACAGGGAAACAGATTTGAGTATAAAAATAAGTGTTAAGAGAACTATTTATACAATTATTTTTGAGACAGGGTCTCTCTCTGTCGCTCAGGCTAGACTGCAGTGGCATGATCATTACTCGACTTGCTGGGCTCAAATGATCCTCCCACCTCAGCCTCCTGAGTAGCTGGAAATACAAGTGTGCATCACCAAACCTGGATAAATTTTTGTATTTTTTGTAGAGAGGGGATTTCAATGTGTTGCCCAGGCTGGTCTCAAACTCCTGGTCACAAGCAATCCACCCACCTTGGCCTCCCAAAGTGCTGGGATTACAGGTGTGAGCCACTGTGCTGTCCTCTTTTCAAAATTCTTGACAGTAATTCACAGAAGGACATATATTTTATATCATCTTGTACACATACACACATTCATGTAACTGAAACGAGTTTCATGAAATATACTATGTAGGAAAATAAAAACCTAGTTAATTGCAAATGTAATTTTATTAACATTTTAATACAACATACTGCAAAATCCCTTAAAAAGTACAGACACAATTTTCTTTTTTTTTTTTTGAGATGGAATCTCACTGTTGCCCAGGCTGGAATGCAGTAGCATCATCTCAGCTCACTGCAATCTCTGCCTTCCTGGTGTAAGAGATTCTCGTGCCTCAGCCACCCTAGTAACTGTGACTGCAGGCATGCGCCACCATGCCTGGCTAAGTTTTGTATTTTTAGCAGAGATGCGGTTTCACCATGTTGGCCAGGCTGCTCTCGAACTCCTGATCTCAAATGATCTGCCCACCTCGGCCTCCCAAAGTGCTGGGATTACAGGTGTGAGACCCCATGCTCTGCTAAACACAAAATTTTATAAAAATTTTATTTAATGTGATGGGTGTGCTTGTCTGTTCATAAGTTCCTTCCAGTCAGGAACACATGAAGATAATGCTACCCGCATGTCTGGTGCACTATTGAGCCTATTTCTTTTCTTCGTTTTTAATCGTGTCAAGATTGAAAATCCTAATTCACACAAACAAGTAGTTGTGAATGGTAGTAACAGCAATATACTCTTCCTACTTAGCAGTGGAAATTTATCTTTAATCTTAATCCAAAATGCTGATAAACTTAATGTCTTATAATAATTCTTTAGTGTGAATGATGAACTGAGCTGCAATAATTCATTCTCTTCTTCAGGCTCCAAGTTTAACTGAATTATTGATTCTGGGTTTTGAAAAGCAAATGGATCTTTCATCCAAATATTTTCCTTTAATGATTCAAATTTCTCTTCTGCAAAGTAATAATTAAAAGTTTGAGACAAAGAAGTGAGATGCAACAATATCTTTAACTTTATTTCTTTTAAGCAGTCTTCATTAATAATGTTCTCTTAAATGTGTTGCAAGAATATTGGAAACATATAGTAGCTCGGGCAATTACTTTTAAGTCTTGCTTGGCACAGCAATAATGTTTTTTGGAATCCTAGAATATGTTCAAGATACTGACATATATCATTGTTTTTCCCCTGTGTTTTCAGGTTTAATTCATTAAGAATGCTAAAAATGTCACTTAAATATGCCAATTTTGGTACCCAGATATCATCTTCAAAAATGCTTGCCAAATGAGATTGCTTTTCAATGAGAAAAATGTAAATCTCATTCCTGAGTTCATATACTTGGCTCAATACTTTTCCTTGAGAAAGCCAATGAACTTCGTTATGAAACAATAAGTGGGTATGGTTAACTCCAATCTCTGAACAAAATACTTCAAGAAGTTGGCTATTCGGTGAACTTCTTTTAATAAAATTAGCAATTTTCACTGCATTTTTCAATGCGTCTATTAGACTTGGTGAAATTTCTTTGGATACCAAAGCTTCTCGATGAATAAAACAGTGATTCCAAAGAGCATTGTTGTGGGTTGCTTCTAACAGTTTTTCAATAAGTGTGCTATGTTTTCCAGTCATATTTGCTGCTCCATCACTTGAAACTCCTTTACAGTGTTTCCAGTTTAATTTATACTGACGAACAATGCAGTTTTCTAATTCAGTAAATAAATCCAATCCAGTTATGTGTGAATTTAAGTTTAAACAACGTAAGAGGTCCTCTACAAAATCATCTTGCCACACATATCTGACATAAACCAAGAGTGTTGGACCACTTGCAATTTCGGTGCTCTCATCAAGTTGGATGGCAAAGTCTACACCAGAGTGCAGCCGTGTAATAAGCATTGCTTCCAAATGTTTTGCAATCGTACAGATTCGATGAGATATTTTATTATCACTAAGAGGTATAGTTTTTAGTTTATCAGCTGATTTATCATCAAAAATTGTACGTACCATATCCATACATGCTGGAAGGATAATTTTTTCAGCTGCTGTGTGAGCCATTTTCTCTTTTGCCACTCTATATGCAACTAAATATGATGATAATAAGGCTCTCTCATTCATAGTTGTAGAGCGACTGAGAACTTGTGGTGATGACTCTACTTTGTTTTTTTCCTTTTGAAAATGGTCTTCTTCCTCTTCCTCCTCCACCTTCACTATCACAATGCCTTTTATCTCCTGGGTACCCCATGGAGACAAATGTATAGTATCCCTTGATTCAGGAGTCATTATTCAGGTTCCAGGAACTGGCTCACTTGATGCAAATAGGATCTGTTTTGCAGGGCTGTGCTTTGTGACCTAGGTTTTATAAGATCAGGTTTTACTATCCTGCAGGGTAGAAAAATGTAACAACAGTATTAAAAAGCAACATGGTATTGCTGGGCTGCTAACAATGCATACAAAACAATTCACTAAATCTAGTGGTGTGACATGGTAACTGATGAGTAACTGTCATTCATGTTGCCTGTGTGTCAGGGAGATTTGATGTATTATATACACCACTAATTTAATACCCAGGGAAATGTTATGAGGTTCACATGATTACTATTCTTATATTACAGGTGAAAAAATAGAAGCTCAGAAAGATTAAATGTGCCCAACAACCCACAGTAAGTTAGTAAGTATAGAACCAGCACTCAAATCCAATTCTGAAACTGATGTCCTAAATATGTTGCTGCACTGCCAACTCTAAAAACTGATCTAGTCCCTCTTAAAAATGATCACCAAGGGCTGGGCACAGTGGCTCACGCCTGTAATCCCAGCACATTGGGAGGCTGCGGTGGGTAGATCACCTGAGGTTGGGAGTTTGAGACCAGCCTGGCCAACATGGAGAAACCCTGTCTCTACTAAAAATACAAAAAATTAACTGCGCGTGGTGGCAAATGCCTGTAATCCCAGCTACTTGGGAGGCTGAGGCAGGAGAATCGCTTGAACCTGGAAGGTGTTGGTTGGGGTGAGTTGAGATCGTCTCCAGCCTAGGCAACAAGCATCAAACTCCGTC